GCGATCGCGGGTCCCTACTCCTCTCAGTGGCAGACAGCCATGGACGCAAAGATGGCATCCTGGAAGTCCACATGCACTTACGTCGACGAGGTTCCCCCTCCTGGGGCGAACATAGTTGATGGCATGTGGATTTTCAGGGTGAAGCGGCCGCCGGGTTCTCCGCCTGTCTTCAAGGCTCGTTACGTTGCTTGAGGCTTCAGTCAGCGACAGGGAGTTGACTTCTTCTAGACCTTCTCCCCCACCCCGAAGATGACCACTCTTCGGGTGCTGCTGCACGTTGCCGCTCAGCGTGACTACGAGCTTCACTCTCTTGACTTCAGCACAACTTTCTTGCAGGGCAGTCTGCACGAGGAGATCTGGCTGCGCCGTCCTCCTGGCTTCACTGGGTCGTTTCCTCCTGGTACCGGGTGGAGCCTCCGACGGCCAGTTTACGGTCTCCGCCAGGCGCCACGTGAGTGGCACGACACACTGAGGACGACACTTGCGGCTCTTGGGTTTGCTCCCTCCACTGCAGACCCTTCACTGTTCCTGCGCACAGACATGTCGCTTCCGCCGTTCTACATCCTCGTGTACGTCGAGGACTTGGTCTTTGCTACTGCTGACACTGAGGCACTTGCTCTTGTGAAGTCGGAGCTGCAGAGGAGACACACGTGCATAGACCTGGGTGAGCTGCGCAGTTACCTTGGCTTGCGGATCTCTCGGGACAGAGCACGCCGCACCATCACCCTGACTCAGTCACACATGGTGCAGCACGTCCTTCAGCGCTTCGGCTTCCAGTTCTCCTCACCTCAGTCCACTCCTCTGTCTACCAGCCACTCGCTCTCAGCTCCACCTTCGGACGAGTCCGCAGAGCCGAGTGGCCCGTACCCAGAGCTTGTGGGCTGCCTCATGTACCTGATGACCTGCACTCGACCTGACCTTGCGTACCCTCTTAGCATCCTAGCTCGCTACGTCGCACCTGGGAGACACAGGCGAGAGCACTGGGAGGCTGCTAAGAGGGTGCTGCGCTACTTGTGCAGTACATCAGGCATGGGGCTGGTGCTTGGAGGACAGGGTCCAGTTGTCCTCACTGGACACTCAGACGCCTCTTGGGTTGACGACCTGGCTACACAGCGGTCGTCACAGGGTTACACTTTCAGCCTTGGCTCAGGTTCTGTCTCTTGGCGTTCCACTCGCTCTTCTTCGGTTCTCAGCTCCAGTTGTGAGGCTGAGATCTACGCCACGGCCATGGCTGCACAGGAGCTACGCTGGCTCACCTACCTGCTGACTGACCTGGGTGAGCGGCCTCGTTCTCCTCCAGTTCTGTACGGCGACAACAAGGCAGCTCTTGCCTTGTGTCAGGAGCACAGACTGGAGCACGGAACGAAGCACATTGCTCTCCGTTACTTTCTGGCTCGAGAGCTGCAGCAGCGTGGCCAGCTTCGCCTTGCGTACGTGGACTCGAAGGCCAACACTGCTGATATATTCACCAAGGCGCTTCCGCCTAGTGATCATCAGCGGCACTGCACTGCTCTAGGCCTTGTGTCCACGTTCTCTCACTTGCTTACTTCTTGACTTTGCTTGTACTGTGATCCCTATATATATACCAGTCCTTGCATGCTTGCACTTGCTAGGCTTTGATCACTGTACTACTTGTGTTCTTCTATATAAATCTGCATGTGAACTGGCCTTGTGGCCTTTGCTTGTGCTCAGAGAGTGTGGTGACGTTGTGATCCACCCTGAGCTTGTTCTTTGCTTTGCTTGACTGGTCTTGTGACCCCTTGCTCTCCCCCACTTTGCCTATGGGGGTGTGTCAAAGTATAAATGTGTTATATGTTTGTAGGCTGTAGTGGGGTAGCCAATATGGGGTACAACCCCAACTAGGGTTTCCTATTTGTACCCTTGCTTCTTTCAATCCAATCATTCCTGCCTAGTATTCTAACACGAGGTTCCCCCCCCAGGGGCGAACATAGTTGACGGCATGTGGATCTTCAAGGTGAAGCGGCCGCCGGTATCGCCCCCAGTCTTCAAGGCACGCTACGTGGCTAGAGGTTTCAGTCAGCGCGAGGGGGTTGACTTCTTTCAGACCTTCGCACCCACCCCGAAGATGACCACTCTTCGGGTGTTACTTCACGTAGCGGCACAGAGGGACTACGAGCTACACTCCCTCGACTTCTCCACCGCCTTCCTGCAGGGCAGCCTACACGAGGAGATCTGGCTGCGTCGTCCTCCGGGCTTCACTGGCACCTTCCCGCCAGGAACCCAGTGGAGCCTCAGACGACCGGTCTACGGTCTCCGTCAGGCACCCCGTGAGTGGCACGACACTCTCCGCTCTACTCTGTCCGACCTCGGGTTTGAGCCGTCTTCCGCCGACCCGTCGCTGTTTGTTCGTCGTGGGCGCACACCTTTCTTCGTTCTGGTCTACGTTGACGACTTGGTTTTTGCCACAGCCGACACAGTTGCACTGGCGGAGGTGAAGTCCGAACTGCAGAAGAGACACACCTGCACTGACCTTGGGGAACTGCGCCGCTACCTTGGCCTGCAGATCTCCAGGGACAGAGCCGCTCGCACCATCACTCTGACTCAGTCACATATGGTGCAGCAGGTCCTTCAGCGGTTCGGGCTTCAGCACTCCTCTCCTACACCCACCCCTCTTGCTGTAGACCACAGACTTACTGAGCCTTTTCCTGACGAGCCGTTCGAGCCCAGTGGTCCCTACGCAGAGCTGGTGGGCTGCCTCATGTACCTGATGACGTGCACTCGCCCGGACCTCGCCTTCCCTCTTAGCATCCTTTCTCGCTTTGTTGCGACTGGGAGACACCGTCCTGTTCACTGGACGGCGGCTAAGAGGGTGGCGAAGTACCTTGCCACGACATCAGACATGGGGCTTGTACTTGGAGGGACACAGCCAGTTGTACTCACCGGTCACTGCGACTCCTCCTACGCCGACGACGTTGAGACTCAGAGGTCTACGTGTTAAACAGGCTAGGCGAAAACGAGAAACAGGCAAAGAGCGTTTTGACTAACAAGCATAGGGATACATATAGCAAACCCTAGAAGGGCTGTACTCGCTATAGAGTACCCCACTGCAGGCTAGACAACCATTACATTCTGACACACCCCCATAGTCAAAGTGGGGTACAATCAACACAACAAGCAGGCAGAGCAGTAGGTTCACAAATACAAGCAAAGCTAGAGGCTATCACAGAGGGCAAGTGAGGAGGAGGAGAAACTGTGGGAGCAAGAAGATGAGAGGCGACGGCTGAAGCTGCAGACACACGGGCAGCAGGAGTGCGCCGCACTGTCGCTACCAGGCTAAACCCGGACTACACGGCGACAGGGGGTCGCAGCTGGCTCGCTGTGCTCCCAGGAGTGCACACACTGTAGCTACCGGGCGCAGAGCCCCGGACTACTCAGGCCACAGGGGGTCGTGGCTCCCTGGACTTCAGGCGCTGCGGACGACAAGTCGACGGCCTCCTCTCAACTTCCCCCAGCTGTCCCACCCCCTTTTCACACACCCCCTTGCTGCACCCCTAGCTCCACTCCCACGACACCCCCCTAGCGCCACTCCCTCGGCTCCCACACACCCACCCCCCTCAGCGGCAGCTGCAGCAGTGGGAGACGGAGAAGGAGGAGGAGGGGACGGCGCACACACCCGGCACCCCCATACCCGCCACCCCCAAACCCTAAACGCAGGCGGCGCGTAGGGGCGGCGTGCGAGCGGAAGGGGGGCGGGGCGCGGGTCCCTGGGGAGCTGCTACGGGCGCCGGGTAGGGCGGCTCGCGGGCCCCCAGGGCGCCTCGACGGGCGACGGGAGGGGGCGACGCGCGGGCCCCCAGGGCGCCGCGACGGGCGACGGGGGGGGGGGGGGACGCGCGGGCCCCCAGGGCGCCGCGACGGGCGACGGGATAGGGCGGCCCGCGGGCCCCCAGGGCGCCGCGACGTGCGTCGGGAAGGGGAGGCGACGCGCGGGCCTGCGGGGCGACGCGACGAGCTCCCGGGGGCGACGTGACGGGCCTGCGGGGCGACGCGACGGGCTTGCGGGGCGACGCGACGAGCTCCTGGGGGCGACGCCACGGTCGACGGGGCAGAAAACCGCCGCGCGCCTCGGGGCGCACGGCGGGCAGAAAACCGCCGCGCATTCGGGGCGCGCGGCGAGCAGAAAACCGCCACGCGCCCCGAGCGCGTGGCGGGAAGAAAAAACGTCGCGCGCCACGGGGCGCGCGACACACAGAACAGCAGCGGAAGCTAACGGGCGGGACCACCCACAGGATCGACCCAGGAGGGTCGACCTGCTCTGATAGCATGTTGAACAGGCTAGGCGAAAACGAGAAACAGGCAAAGAGCGTTTTGACTAACAAGCATAGGGATACATATAGCAAACCCTAGAAGGGCTGTACTCGCTATAGAGTACCCCACTGCAGGCTAGACAACCATTACATTCTGACACTACGCAGGGTTACTGTTTCAGTCTGGGCTCTGGAGCTGTTTCGTGGAGGTCTACTCGGTCCTCCTCTGTTGCGACTTCTACCGCAGAGGCCGAGATCTACGCTGGAGCCCTTGCTGCACAGGAGCTACGCTGGTTGACCTTTTTGCTTTCTGACCTTGGTGAGCGGCCGAGCTCTGCACCAACCTTGTTTGCTGACAACAAGGCGATGATGTTGAAATCTAGAGGCACGAAGGAATGACTAAGGATGAGTTTTGGGTACAAATGTGAAACCCTAATGGGGTTGTACCCCATATTGGCTACCCCACTACAGCCTACACCCATATATCACACATATATTTTGACACACCCCCATAGGCAAAGTGGGGGAGAACAAGGGGTCACAAGACCAGTCAAGCAGGACAGAGCAAGCCCAGGGTGGATCACAACGTCACCACACAGTCTGGACACAGGCAAAGGCCACAAGGCCAGTTCACATGCAGGTTTATATAGGAGAACGCAAGTAGCACAGTGATCAAGGCCTAGCAAGTACAAGCATGCAAGGATATATATATAGATCACAGTACAAACAAGGTCAAGAAGTAAGGAGGTGAGGGAACGTGGACACAAGGCCTAGTGCAGTGCAGTGCCGCTGATGATCACTAGGCGGAAGCGCCTTGGTGAATATATCAGCAGTGTTGGCCTTCGAGTCCACGTACGCAAGGCGAAGCTGGCCACGCTGCTGCAGCTCTCGAGCCAGAAAGTAACGGAGAGCAATGTGCTTCGTTCTGTGCTCCAGTCTGTGCTCCTGACACAAGGCAAGGGCCGCCTTGTTGTCTCCGTACAGAACTGGAGGAGAACTAGGCCGCTCTCCCAAGTCAGTCAGCAGGTAGGTGAGCCAGCGTAACTCCTGTGCAGCCATGGCCGTGGCGTAGATCTCAGCCTCACAACTAGAGCTGAGAACCGAAGAAGAGCGGGTGGACCGCCAAGAGACAGAACCAGAGCCAAGGCTGAAAGTGTAACCCTGTGACGACCGCTGCGTAGCCAGGTCGTCCACCCAAGAAGCGTCTGAGTGACCAGTGAGGACAACTCTGTCGCGTCCTCCAAGCACCAACCCCATGCCCGATGTACTGCACAAGTAGCGTAGCACCCTCTTAGCAGCCTCCCAGTGCTCTCGCCTGTGTCTCCCAGGCGCGACGTAGCGAGCTAGGATGCTAAGAGGGTACGCAAGGTCAGGTCGAGTGCAGGTCATCAGGTACATGAGGCAGCCCACAAGCTCTGGGTACGGGCCACTCGGCTCTACGGACTCGTCCGAAGGTGGAGCTGAGAGCGAGTGGCTGGTAGCCAGAGGAGTGGACTGAGGTGAGGAGAACTGGAAGCCGAAGCGCTGAAGGACCTGCTACACCATGTGTGACTGAGTCAGGGTGATGGTGCGGCGTGCTCTGTCCCGAGTGATCTGCAAGCCAAGGTAACTGCGCAGTTCACCCAGGTCTGTGCACGTGTGTCTCTTCTGCAGCTCCGACTTCACAAGAGCAAGTGCCTCAGTGTCAGCAGTAGCAAAGACCAAGTCGTCGACGTACACGAGGATGTAGAACGGCGGCAGCGACGTGTCTGTGCGCAGGAACAGCGACGGGTCTGCAGTGGAGGGAGCAAACCCAAGAGCCGCTAGTGTCGTCCTCAGTGTGTCGTGCCACTCACGTGGCGCCTGGCGGAGACCGTAGACTGGCCGTCGGAGGCTCCACTGGGTACCAGGAGGGAACGACCCAGTGAAACCAGGAGGACGTCGCAGCCAGATCTCCTCGTGCAGGCTGCCCTGCAAGAAAGCCGTGCTGAAGTCAAGAGAGTGAAGCTCGTAATCACGCTGAGCGGCAACGTGCAGCAGCACCCGAAGAGTGGTCATCTTCGGGGTAGGGGAGAAGGTCTGGAAGAAGTCAACTCCCTGTCGCTGACTGAAGCCTCGTGCAACGTAACGAGCCTTGAAGACAGGCGGAGAACCCGGCGGCCGCTTCACCCTGAAAATCCACATGCCATCGACGATGTTCGCCCCAGGAGGGGGAACCTCGTCGACGTAGGTGCCTGTGGACTTCCAGGATGCCATCTCTGTGTCCATGGCTGTCTGCCACTAAGAGGAGTAGGGACCCGAGACCGCCTCTGTGTAAGAGCGGGGGGTAGGGATGTCAAGTGCATCCGGGTCTCCCTCAAGGGCAAGCAGCCAGGCCGTGAGATGAGGTACAGCAGCCGCAAGACAGTCAAGGTCCTCCTGCCTGTCCTCAAGGACGTCCGTGCCAAGAGCACACTCACCCCCGACGGACGGAGGACAGACAGACGCAGACTCAGCAACAAGACTAGCAGCGTAGTCTAGACGACAGGCAGCAGCAAAGTCAACAAGCTCAGCGACCAAGGCAGACGCAACAGTAGACTCAAACGACGGGTCAGTGACAACAGTAGCTAACAGACGCGTGACAGTAGGGTGCTCAGCACGAAACCGGTCAGACTCAGGGTCCGGAACGTCGGGCAGAGAGGACGCTGGGGGAGACGGCAGAGGAACAGACTGCAGAGACGAGGAAGGACGACGCACGACGAGGCGGCCGCCGGTGACTGCCGGCTGACGCGGACGAGAAACACGACGACCAGGACGGACAGGCGAGACAGGACGCGACGCAGGCTCACGACGCTCAGTAAGACCCCCGGACTGCTCAGAGTAAGGAGGAGGAGCAGGCAGCGGTGAGCCAGGCTGTAACGGAAGACCAGTAGACGACGGTAGGCTAAGAACCTGGCGAAGCGCAGAGTCAGGCGGTAGCTGAGTCGACGGAGACGGCGGAGCGAAGAACAGTCTCGGCTGCGCCGAGCCACAGGCGCCAGCGGCTCCAGCGTCCTCAGCCGCTCCAGGACCTCCAGCAGCTCCAGCACCTCCAGCAGCAGCTCCTCTAGGCTCAGCGTCACCAGCCACAGCACCCCCAGAACCGGCACCTCCAGGCCCAGGGTCTCTAGTCTCCGTAGCTCCATGAGCAGCACCCCCAGACTCAGAGTCTCCGGCCGCAGCACCCTCACACTCCGTGTCTCCTGTCCCAGCAGCTCCAGTACCCCCAGTACGAGCACCTCCGGGACCAGCGGTCGCAACCTCAGCACCCCCAGAAGTAGTGCCCCGCGCTCCACTAGCTCGACGCTGACGGCGACCGTACCAGTCGTGCAGCTGCTGCGAGGTGAGGGGGACACGCGGACGAAGGCGAGCACTCCAAGGGGACCGCGTCCCAGCCCCTCCCTCAGGCCGCTCCACTCCAGGTCCAGAACCTCCAGGCTCCACAGACACAGGCTCGGCACTGTCAGACGCAGTCCCTCCAGGCAGAGTAGCTCCAGGCTCCTGACCCGCAGACTCAGTACAAGCAGGCGCCGGGCCCTCAGACTCCACACCCCCAGGCTCAGCACCCTGAGGCACCGCACTCTCACGCTCCGCACCCCCAGGTTCAGTACCCCCAAGCTCCGCACCCTCAGGCTCCGCACCCCCAGGCTCAGTACCCCAAAGCTGCGCACCCCTAGGCTCCGCACCCCCAGGACCAGCACTACCTCCAGCAGGACCAGAATCACCAGTAACCTCAACAGGCGCAGGTACAGGAGGGTCTACCTGGGAAACACCTGAAGGGGCAGGACCTGGCGCGAGAAGAGGGTCTACCTGAGGAGGACCTGGAGTGAGGAAGAGCGGTGGGGGGGGCGCGAGGGGAGGTACGGTAGGGAAAGAGACGGTAGAAGGGAACGGACTCGTCAAAGGTGACGTCCTGAGACGAAATGACACGGCGCGAGAAGGGGTCGTAGAACTGCCAACCAGGCGCGTCAGGAGGGAAACCAAGGAAGACACAGGGAACGGCGCGAGCGGAGAGCTTGTCCGCGGTGGTATCGCGGACAAAGGCACGAGCACCCCAGACCCGGAAACGCGACGCATCGCCAACCTTCCCCGTCCACAGCAGCGTGGGCGAGGTCTCCGGCAAGGAGACACGGGGCCAAAGGTTGAGCTGATGCGCAGCGTACCGGACCGCAAACGGCCACAGAAAATGGGGGGCAGCCGCATGGATCATGGAGGTACGAGCGACCTCCATGACTAAGCCAATGCGGCGCTCAGCAACCCCATTCTGCTGCGGAGAGGCCGGAAGCGTGAACGACTGGGTGATGCCGTGCTCCGCACAGAAGGCTCGCAAGAGGTCGGAGGAGAACTCACCACCTCTGTCAAAGTGCAGACGCAGGACAGGAAAGTCCGACTGGAAACGCTCGCGGAGCTGGAGACGAGCAGCGCGGATCCAGGGGATCAGAACAGCAGGGACGTCCCCCTTGCTGCGCAAGGGGAAGACCGTGGTGTAGCGCGTGTAGTCGTCAACTACCAGCAGGAAGTACCGCTCGCGGCCCTGCCCCTGGACGCGGGCCGGGCCCCACACGTCCAGGTGGAGAGTCTGCAGTGGAGCCTCTGTGGGAGGGAACGAGGAGGAGTGAGGAGCGGCGCGCTGCCGCCCCTCGACACAAGGAATGCAGGGAGGCGCAGGCGAGGGAGGGAGGGCAGGGAGAGACCTGGGAAGGCCAGAGACCAGGAGGCGAGAGTGCATGCTGCGAAGGCGAGGCAGGGAGGGGTGACCAAGGCGGTGGTGCCAAAGGAGAGTGTCGTGGGACAGGCGGCGGCACTCACACTGGGTGGCTACCTGAGCAGACGCGTACAGCTGTGGTGACAGAGGAGTGGAACGTGAAACAGTGGTGAGTGTGTACAGACTAGACCCCGGCTCACGGGTGAACGTGGCCAGGTGGCGGCCAGTCCGAGAGCAGGTGCAGATCGCCACACGCTGTCCGCCAGGAGTCCAGGTGTCAACCCAGTGATCCTGAAGAACAGCGTTGCTCACCAAGTTCGTAGAGAACGAGGGAACATGGAGACCTGACAGCTCACCAGACGGGACCGCCGGGCACGGAAGCACAGTCGAGGCTCGTGCCAGCACTGGGCCCCCAGAGGGGTCAGCCAGTGAGACAGGAACAGGTGCAGGGAGGGGGGTGACTGTGGTGCTATCACGAAAGAAACAGCGCGAAGCACCAGAGTCAAGTGTAAACGTGTGCAAGGCCTGGGTGGGCACAGTACCAGAGAGGGCAGACTCACTAGTACCTAGGGCTGCAGTCTCTATACCTGGGTCAGGCGGCACACACAAGTAACAGTCACCCTCAGCACTAACAGTCAATGCATACATGGCAGCAAGGATTGCATCATAATCAAGATCATAGACAGGTACATCACGCCTAGCCAGATCTGCCCAGTTGGGGAACTCAGTGGCATCAGGGAACTTGGCGCGCCAGGCGTCGCTGAGGCGCGCAAAGCAACGGTACTCAGTGTGGAATCCGTTGCACCCAAGTGCGACCCTTGCGAGGGCCAGAACGAATGACATAGGGGCAACGACCAGAACCCCCAGGCGCCCCACGTCCAGCATACCAGTCATGAAGCTGCTGCGAAGAGAGGGTCTGGCGCTGCGACGGCTGCTGCTGCTGCTGCTGCTACTGCTGCTGCTGCTGCTGCTGCCAGTCCCACCGCCCCCACCACCTCCACCACCGCTCCCTCCTCCTCCCCCCTTACCGCTGCCGCCGCCACCACCACTCCCGGCCCCACTGCCACCCCACCCACCACCGCCACCCCCGCGACCACCCCCACCCCCCCCGCCACCCCCACCACCTCCACCACCGCTCCCTCCACCCCCGCCTCCACCACCCTTGCCACCTTTGCTGCCCCTGCCACCGCCTCGCTTCCCACTAGGGGCGGAGGCTGCTGCGACCTGCTCAGCGCCAGAGAGGTCAACGGCAGTAGCAGCTGATGTGTAGGAGGGGGTAAGGGGGGAGGGGGAGCAACCCTCGAAGAGGGGAGTGCGGGGAGTACCCCTAGCGGCGCCGACAGCTAGGATATTCTTCTCTGCTGCGAGAAGCTGCTGCTCGAAGTCGTCTAGAGTGATCTCGGTGGGATCCATGGCGAGGAAATGGTCCCTGACTACGCTAAGGGTGTCAGGGAGGCGGGTGACGAGGAGATAGAGGGTCCAGTAGAGCGGAGGAGGGTTGGCAGCAAGGAACTCGACCTTGAGAGCGGCTCTAAAGCGGACGTCACTAGCGCGGAGGTGAGAGATGAGGTCCTCAGCAGTGGGAAAGGAGGACAGGTCGGGGAACAGGTAGGGTAGGATAAGTCGTCCTACAGCAGCAGTAGCTGGGGAGGAGTAGCGCGCAACAACAGCAGCGTACAGTGCCTTAGCCGTCTTGTGCTGACTAAAATGCGCGCGCTCAGTGATCGGCAGGTGGTTGCGGATAGCGAGGCGTGCAGCAGCATCGCGAGTCTGCCACTGTGAGCGGTCAAGAGCAGGAGCACTGTCAGCAGGAGCAGCGGCAGTGCCAGTAGCGTGATCGTAAAGAGAAACGCCATCTTTGGCATCGGTCATAAGGAATAGCTGCAAATCGTCGAGCCAGGTGGAGAATTCTACGGGGCGACCGTCAGGCTCAAAGGCAAGGACGTTCAACGTCGCCATGGTAGCAGTGTAGGCAGGCAGGCAAGTGCTAAGCAGGCAGGCAGGCGCTAGACAGGCAGGCAGGTGCGAGGCTGGCAGGCAGGCATCAGGCAGGCAGGCAGGCGCGATAGACAGGCCGGGGGCAGCGGTGCACGGGCTGCGCGGGCTGCGGGTGGGGCCGTGTGGGCGGCGGAACGGGCGGCACGGGCGGCTCGGGCAGTGGCCTGGGCCGTGCGCGGGCGGGCGGGGCTCAGGGCGGGCTGCGCGAGCTGCGCGGGCGGTGGGATGGGCCGTGCGCGGGCAGGCGTGGCTCAGGGCGGGCTGCGCGTGGGCAGAAATGCGCGCGCGGGGCTGCGGGGCCGTGGGGCGGGCGACGCGCGGGGCTGCAGGGTCGCGCGACAGGCCAGGGGAGGGCTAGCGCGGGGCCGCAAGGCAGGGCGACGGGCGGCGCGGGGGTCTGCAGGGCAGCGCGACGGGCCAGGGCAGCGCGCGCGCGGGTCTGCAGGGCAAAACGACGGGCGGCGCGCGGGGCTGCAGGGCAGCGCGACTGAAAAAAAAGGCAGGCAGGCTAGGCAGTTAGGGCGTGGGGTAGCACGGTAACCGCAGGCAGTGGTAGGTGGGCCCTAAAAAGTCGATCCTGAGGTCCTAAGGACCTCCTGCTCTGAATACCATGTTGAAATCTAGAGGCACGAATGAATGACTAAGGATGAGTTTTGGGTACAAATGTGAAACCCTAATGGGGTTGTACCCCATATTGGCTACCCCACTACAGCCTACACCCATATATCACACATATATTTTGACAGATGATTCTCCTGTGTCGTGAGCCTCGACTGGAGAGCAGAGTGAAGCACATCGACGTCAGGTACTTCCTCCTTCGAGAGTTGCAGAGACGTGGACAGGCACGTCTGGACTTCGTGGCCTCCGAGGCCAACACTGCAGACATCTTCACCAAGGCCCTTCAGCCTTGTGACCACCGCCGGTTTTGTCTGCAGTTAGGCCTCATTGAGACTGGGTCTAGTAGACTGCAGTAGTGAGTTCTTGCCTCTTGTTTGTTTGTATTATATAGATTAGCTTGTACTTTATTGAATTGGCCTTGTGGCCTCTTGTTTGTGCTCAGACTGGTGGTGACGTTGTGATCCACCCTGAGCTCTGTTTGCTCTCTTGCTTGTGACTGGTCTTGTGACCTTAGGTTGTGTTTTGTTGCTTGGCATTCCCCACTTAGGCTATGGGGGTGTGTCAAATGTTATAGCCTCTAGTGGGTCATGCTATATGGGGTACAAATAGTTAGGGTTAGGCATTTGTACCCCAACACAATCAATCTAACTCATTCCGCTGTTTTCACTTTGTGAGACAGTGTACCAAATAATGATGCTTGTGCCTGCTCACTGACCTCTGCTTATGTTATTGGTATTTGTTTAGGAGTGGTGCCAACCAAACCAAGTGACTTCAGACTAGCTTCAGTCACATACCAGACAAAATCAAAGACACTGCTTCGTGCCACATTGAATAATTTCCCATCATGTAACATGGCTACGGTAGTTGGAGGAATCCTACATGTGAAAAGAAAGAACCAAATGGGCTAACCCTAGAGGACAAGCTTACTTCTGCACTGTGCTTCCAAGGCCACCAGCAAACCCACTTGAACTGCCGCCAGCAGCTGTGCCAAATCCCACAGGACCTCCCCCAAAACCACCACTGCCTGCCCCCAAACCACCGCCACCTGCCCCGAAACCGCCAGTGCCGGCCCCAAAACCACCACTGGCTGACCCAAACCCACCGCTGGCTGCCCCAAACCCACCGCTCCCTGCCCCAAACCCACCGCTCCCTGCCCCAAACCCACCGCTCCCTGCCCCAAACCCACCGCTCCCTGCCCCAAACCCACCGCTCCCTGCCCCAAACCCACCGCTCCCTGCCCCAAACCCAACGCTCCCTGCCCCAAATCCTCCTGCTGTAAAGCCTCCTGTGGTCGCTCCAAACCCACCCGACCCTGTTCCTTGTCCCCCTCCCCCACTTCCCCCTTCAGTCTTTCCTGCTCCTCCTCCAAATCTCGCACTTGCAGCACCCCCGCTTCTTAACCCAAGCCCTCCTGCACTCCACCCAAGCCCCACAGCGCCAGCAGCACCAGCAGCCTTCCAACCACCATCGATTGCTACTGTGCTTTTCTCATCACCACCTCGTACACCAGAGGCATTGCCTGCCCCACCAAATATATTGCCTGTCCCACCAAAAGTATTGCCTGCCCCACCAAAAGTATTGCCTGCCCCACCAAAAGTATTGCCTGCCCCACCAAAAGTATTGCCTGCCCCACCAAAACTGCTGCCTGCCCCACCAAAACTGCTGCCTGCCCTACCAAACAACGGAGGGGGAGCAGAGGGGGAAGCAGAGGGGGCAGCAGCTGGTGGAGCAGCATGGGGCGATCCAAATCCCGCTCCCACCCTCCCCAACGCACTTCCTCCTGCTGCTCCCGTGCCCACAGCCTCTGCTGCCGCTGGTGCTGACGCTGCTGCTGCTGCTGCTGCTGCTCCTATGCCCCCTCCTGTCAACTTAGCTCCAAAGGTTGTTGCTGACCCAAAAGGTGCTGACCCAAAAGGTGCTGACCCAAAAGGTGATGACCCAAATGCTGGTGTTGGCCCGAAAGCCGGAGCTGCTCCAACTGTTGCTGTTTGCACTCTGCTGCCTGCCCCTGCTGCCTCTTCTCTTCCTGCTGCTCCTGCTGCTCCTGCTGCTCTCCGTCCCCCTTCCCCCAGCCCCTGACCCCAATGCCTTAGACCCCTTAACGGCCCTCCCCGCCCCTCCAGTTGCCACCTGCCTGAAATCCTCTGCGTCTAAATCTACCTGCACCAGATATGCCCTCACTGCCTCCTCCACCTCCCCCTGCATCGCACGCACCACCTCATGCTCACTCACACCCGCACTTAGGCTCACACCTTCTCTACCACCCCCACCTCCTCTTCCCCTCGCCCCCCTACCCCTCTCTTTCTCCCCCCCGTGCTCTCCCACAGCAGCAGCAGCCGCCAGCTGTAGCCTCAGCCGGTCCAGCAGGGCATGTGGCTGCCACGTGGCGCCCATCCGTTGCTTCGCCGTGCGGGGATCAGCCGATCGGATGGCTCTCCACGCGCGGAGCATGGCAAGGGCCAATCGGGACGCTTGGATGAGGTGATTAAAGTCCAGGTAGACTCGAAGGAGTGATGAGGGGTCCGGAGCAATGGGAGGGGCGACAGATGGGTTGAAAGGAGTGGAGAGCGGTGCAAGGAAGGAGGGTGATGAGAGAGAGGAGGAGGCGGAGGCGAAGGGAAGGGGAGTTGAGGAGGAGGGGAGCAGTGTCGAGACGGAGGAGGAACCTTCCAGGAAGAGACGGATGAGCCATGGAGGTAAGGGAAGAGCAGGGTTGGTGCCGAGTATGGCTCGGGCTACAACCTCACGGAGGTTCGGATGGTGCCGAACGTATGCCTCGGTCCAAACCTGCATCTGCTGCCACATCAGCGCCGGGGAGTTAGCCACGCCAGCAGCAGCAGCAGCACTGGCAGCAGCTGACGTGGCAGCAGGAGAAGAAATGCCGTTTGGATCCCGGGCAGCTGCAGGAGAAAGTCCGAGCTGGGCCATGCAGCAGCGGCGGGTGGCTACCGAAAGAATTTCTGAAAGTTCAGCTGCCCGCTGGCTGCCCGAAAAGAAGAGTGTGGCGAGGTGGAGAGCTTGGGGGAAGAGAGCGTTGTGAGCACAGGCTGATATGATGTGGTGTGGTGAGGCGTCTGACGCTGATAGGGGGAGGGAGAGGGAGAGGAGGGGGACAGGGGGAAGAGGGGCAGATGATACAGAGCGCGTTGCAAGCACAGGCGTTGCAAGCACAGGCGTTGCAAGCACAGGCTGATATGCCTTGCTGTGGTGGGCCGCCTGGCACTGGTAGGGGGGAGGGAAAGCGGGGATAAAGGGAAGGAAGGGATATGAAACAAAGCACGAGTGGGAAAAGGCCGATATGATGGCGCAGGCTGATATGATGGCGCAGGCTGATATGATGGCGCAGGCTGATATGATGGCGCAGGCTGATATGATGGCGCAGGCTGATATGATGGCGCAGGCTGATATGATGGCGCAGGCTGATATGATGGCGCAGGCTGATATGATGGCGCAGGCTGATATGATGGCGCAGGCTGATATGATGGCGCAGGCTGATATGATGGCGCAGGCTGATATGATGGCGCAGGCTGATATGATGGCGCAGGCTGATATGATGGCGCAGGCTGATATGATGGCGCAGGCTGATATGATGGCGCAGGCTGATATGATGGCGCAGGCTGATATGATTTTCTGTGGGGGAACGTCGGGAGTTGGTTGGGCGGATGCATGCACGTGCATGTCTGTGTCTGGCGTGGAAGGGAGGAAGAGAGGGGCATGTGAAATGGGGCACATGAAACCGAGGACGTGAGGGAAGAGGGAGGAGGGCTGTGAGGTGCGCTGGCAGAGGGCTGTGAGGGCCTGAGGGAAGAGGGCTGTGATGTGATGTGATGTGATGTGATGTGATGTGAGCACAGGCCAATAGGATGCCCTGCAATGCGGTGGGTGGCCAGGGCTGGTTGTGGGGAGGTGGGAGAGGGAAGAAAGGGAAGGGGGGGGCACATGATACAAAGCACGTGTCTCAAGAGGCCGCTCCGCTGTAAGTGCAGGCGGATGACGCCAAGGCTGGCTGGGCGATGCAATAGGTCGTCCAAGGCTGGTTGGGCGATGACGCCACCCATGCGTGTGTGTGCGTGTGTGTGCGTGTGTGTGCGTGTGTGTGTGTGTGTGTGTGCGTGTGTGTGCGTGTGTGTGCGTGTGTGTGTGTGTGTGTGCGTGTGTGTGCGTGTGTGTGCGTGTGTGTGTGTGTGTGCGTGTGTGTGCGTGTGTGTGTGTGTGCGTGTGTGTGCGTGCGTGTGTGTGTGTGTGTGCGTGTGTGTGTGTGCGTGCGTGTGTGTGTGTGTGCGTGTGTGTGTGCGTGTGTGTGCGTGTGTGTGTGTGCGTGTGTGTGTGTGCGTGTGTGTGTGTGTGTGCGTGTGTGTGTGCGTGTGTGTGTGTGCGTGTGTGTGTGTGTGCGTGTGTGTGTGTGCGTGTGTGTGTGCGTGTGTGTGTGCGTGTGTGTGTGCGTGTGTGTGTGTGTGTGTGCACGTGTTTGTGTGTGCGCGCGCGTGTGTGTGTGTGTGTGTGTGTGTGCATGTGTGTGTGTGCCCGTGTTTGTGTGTGTGCGCGCGCGCGTGTGTGTGTGTGTGCGTGTGTGTGTGTGCGTGTGTGTGTGCGTGTGTGTGTGCGTGTGTGTGTGTGTGTGTGTGTGTGAGAGAGCAAAGCAGGTGGGAGGGAGGGTGAGGCGGCGGAGCAGAGCGGGCCAAGGTGGGGAACACAAGGAAATGGGACACTTGACTTGGAAAGATTGCAGGAAACAGCAAGGAAATCTCCCGGGAAGACTTCAGCTGCGCCTCAGAAGTTATCTCTCATGTTGCAGAGAAGCCTCTCTGCTATGCCAGCTGTGAGTGTTGGCTGGAGGAAAGCATTCAAAACGTGCAGGCAGGCAGTGATGGTTGCTACGGGAGTGAAGCCATTTGGCGCCAGAGAGGTGGGGAGGGAAGGGGAGGGGTGTGGAAAGGTGGGGAATGATTTGGAGAGCAGCAAATGTTCGTTGGAGAGTTTTGAGAATTCACAAAAACTTGCTCACATGGGGAGTTGCGAAAAGCAGTGTTGTGAGAGAAGGCAGGTGTGGGATACAACAATCCTAAGGTGTGGGCAATGCAGGTTGCAGGGAGGGAGTTGGAAGCGAGGGAGACAAGGGTGTGGGTCGCAGGTTGCAGGTTTCACCCTCTCTGCTCACCCTCTCTGCTCAACCTCTCTGCTCACCCTCTCTGCTCAACCTCTCTGCTCACCCTCTCTGCTCACCCTCTCTGCTCACCCACTCTTCGTCACTCATCCTCTCACTCACCCAGCAGCGCTGCAGTGGTCCCGGGACACGTGGCGAGCAGTGATTGGGCGGCCACCAGCGCATGCTCCCTCCGCAGATCCTCCAGTCCCACCGGCTCCGTGCCGCGGCCCAATGGCACGCCGCCGCCTGTCCCTCCTCCCCACCTCCCCCTTTTGGCCGGACTCGCCTCTCTCCAGACCCCCCCCTCCCCTCTCTTCCGCCCATTCTCCCCCGTCCTCCCACCCTCCCGCAACCCGTCCCTCCCACTACCACCACCAGCACCACCATAACCATCAACATCAGCATCAACATCAGCATCAGCATCAGCAGCCGTGCCCCTGTGAGGGAAAACTGAGACCATGGGTGGAAGCCACGCCTCCTGCCTCTCCCTCTCCCCCTCCTCTACCCACCCCCCCTCAACACCCACCCCGCCCCTTCCCTCCTGCACACCCACACTCTCACCCACCCTTCCCACACCCTTCCCCTTTCCTCCTCCCCTCACCCTCTCTCCTCCACCTTCCCGCCCCTCCCCCCCCACCACCATCAGCTCCAGCGCCTGAATTGCCACCGCCAGGCTCATCTCTCTCAACCGCACTGCACTCAGCTTCACCTCGGGAATTCTCTCTGCACCCAACGTCATCCCCGGACTTCCCTTCAGCACCGGACTGAACAGCTTTCCGGGACTAGGCTGGTGGAACCCAGGACTCACTCCCTGCTTCCTCCTCCTATCCGCACTCCCAGAAACAGCAGCAGGAGTGGGAGTGGGTGCAGTGCGGTTGCTGCCGGTACTGCTCGAGCCAAGCACTTCCCTGCCTAATCGCCATGCGTATCGGTACATGGCCAGCGCCGCCTTCCTCCAATCAGATCGCGCCACGTGGAACGAGTACAGTAGCTTGTACGGGCTCACCCTGCCCAGCGCCGCTGACGTGGCAGCCGGCGCCGACGCTAACGTGGACAGCGGCAGGGACAGCGCCACGTCAGAGTTCTCAGCGAGCCACATCAGCTCCTGCTCCACCTGTACGTGCAGGTCAGCAGCAGCGTACGGCAGATCGCGGCCACACAGAGTCGACAGCGCCCTCCCTGCTCTAGCTGCCTCAGCCGCTGCTGCTGCTTGTGCTGCAGCCCATGCTGCCGATGGTCCTGCTGGCACTGATTGCGCTGCAGTGGTTCCACCGGTGTCTGTAGCGGCTGTAGCAGCGGCTGTAGCGGCGGCGGCTGCAGCAGAGCTGGCAGTGTCACAGAGCACAGCCACGAACTGGCGAAGGCAGATGCTGCGGGTGAGTGGGTCGGGGTTGGAGGCGAGAGCACAGAAGGCCTCGTCATACTGCCCGCCCTGCACCGCATACTCAAACACATTCGCCCACAGCCGCCCCTTCACACCCCGCACCACCTCCCCTGCTGCCCCTGCTCCCGTTCCCACTGCTCCCGCCCCCACTGCTCCCGCCCCCACTCCTCCCGCTTCCTCTGCTGCCACTGCCGCTGCTTGTGAGTGCCGCTCCTCGTCGCGTTCGTCGTGGGAAGCTTCCGGGAAGGCGGCGTCGGCCTCGTGGATGGCGGCAAGGGCGAAGCGGGCGGCAGAGGGCCCCTCGCTGTAGCGCTGCAGCAGCCGCATCACCGCCTCGTAGTACCTCAACCGCTGCCGTGCCTCCGTTGCTGCGGCTGCTGCTGCTGTGGCTGCTGGTGCTGCTGCTGCTGCTGCTGCTGCTGCTGCTGCATTTGCTGCGGGTTGTACGGCTGCTGCTACTGTACCAGTGGTGCTCCCCACACTGTTGTTCGCACTGCCACTGAACATCTCCAGTAGGCCTTGCAGCGGGTTCCCACCCTCTCCCATGCTCGCCCCCGCTTCCCCTCCCTCCCCGCCACCAGCTCCTGCTACCCACGCTCCCACTCCTTCCGCTGCCCGGAAGAAACATTTCACTGCCCGATCCACCAGTGCTGCCCGCATGGCCTCCCTCGCTGCTGAATCACGCCCTCCCCCTTCTCCTGCTAAAAGCACACTCTGTCCCTTGCTGTTGCCACCAGCACTTAGCTGGCTAATGCTGCTGCTGCTGCTGGTGGCACTTAGTTGAAACCAGGCAGGGAGGTCAGCAGGGACGTGTGCGCATGCAACCAGAGCAAACCCCAACAGGAAGGAACGCGCAGCCGAGGCTTCAGGTTCGGCCGAACCAGAAGTTCTGGCTCGGGAAAGAGCCAACAGGCTGTTGGAAAAGTGTGCGTCTCGATCGACACAGTCCAAGAGAAGCTGGGTTGACGGGGGGGGAGGGGGGGGAAGAGGGATGGGGATTAATTGCGCGTGGCGATCGACACGCTGGGTGGTTGGGCGAGAGGGTGAGAGGGGAGGGGAAGGGGGAGGGCGAAGGGGAGGGGGAAGGCGAGCTTTAAGTTGAGGCGCGTCGCGATCGACACAATCCAAGAGGACAGTGGGGAGGGGAGGAGGGAGGGGGAGGGGGAGGGGGAAGACGAGTTTTGAGGCACCTCAAAACGCGATCGTTTAACACGGATCAAGTGCGCGTCGCGATTGACACAGTCTAAAAGGAGCTCAGCGGACGGGAAGAGGGGGAGCGGGAAGGTGGGATGGGGTGGAAAGGATGGACAACAGGCAGAAACAGAGGGCCTAAGGATGGAAGCACACACACACACACGCACGCACGCACGCACGCACGCACGCACACACGCACGCACGCACACACGCACGCACGCACACACGCACGCACGCACGCACGCACGCACGCACGCACACACGCACGCACGCACGCGCACCATGTGGGTGGGTGAACACAAGGAGCAGCACAACATATGTGTTCTAAACTGAACCCCCTTGCCTCTCACCTTCACCACGTGGTACTGACTCTGCTCCAGCAGCCGCAGCCCCATCTGCACGGCGCGATCAAAGAAACTCGCCGCTCCCACCTCCGCCCCCGCCCCCCCCCCCGCCCCCGCCCCCGCCCCCGCCCCCGCCCCCGCCCCCGCCCCTGCCCCCCCTCCTACTGCGCGCCCTTCAGTCTGCCAGGGGTCGCACCCCCAGCGCAGGCGCAGGGCTTCACTCATCACCTCGCACAGCAGCCCCTCCCCACTCACACTCGCACACCGCCACCCCACCGCCCCTCCCCCTCCTTTGCTTCCTCCCCTCCCTTCCAGTCCGCCCCTCTCCTCCCCTCCCTCCATCTCCTCATCACTACACTCCTCCCCTTCGTCTTCTCCCTCGCTTTCAGCCCCGTCAGAGTCCCCATCGGCTAAAAAGGTTTCAACTTCTGATGCACTCCCGTCCAACCACCATCCCCTCCACCTGCCCCCCCACACACTGCCTCCGCCCCTACCCCCTCCTGCGCCTCCTTCTCCTCCCCCTTCCCTCTCCTCCTCTCCCTCCCCGTCCAGTAAAACAGAGACAACTGTCCGCCTGGCCCATCGAAACTGCACCTCTCGCCTGCAGAACCTTCCAAGAAAGTCCCCTTCTGCCACTGCCCCTGCCCCTGCTCCCCATTCCCCCGCCCCTCCTCTCCTCCCACTGCCAAACCCTAAACCCCCTCCCCCTCCCCCTGCCTGCCTCACCCACCTCCCAGACCCCCGCCTGGTTCCCACAGCCACGTCAGCATCGCCATCCACGTCAGCAACGCCTTTCCCTCCAATATGCAGCGAGAGGAGGTCCACAGAAAAATCGTCCTCTGGGCTCCGAGCAGCAAATGAGTCAGAGAGAGTGTGGAGGAGGAGGGTGGAGGAGAGAAGGGAGTGAGTGAAGGGGAGCAGGCGACGCGAGAGAAAGGAACGGTCGGAGGGGGAGAGGAGGAACGGCGAGCGGGAGAGGTGGAGGAAGTGGAGGAGAGGGAGGAGGGAGAGGAGGAGGTGGAGGTGGGAGCCTAGCAAGAGGGTGAGACCGTGGGAGAGCTCTAGGGGAGAGAAGAGGGAGGGCAGGAGGAGGGTGCTGCTTGGTAGATCGTCAATCTCCCCACTCCCATTCTGCCCTTCCACCGCTGCTGCTGCTGCTGCTGCTGCTGCTGCTGCTGTTGCTGTTGCTGCTGTTGCTGCTGCACCTTGGGACCCAGAGGCAGATGCACCTTCTGGGAGTCTACCCAGATCCATACTCGTTACAAGCAGCTCCAATACCTCGAGTACACCGCCCCATTTCCCTCCTGCTGCGTCTCTCAAATTCCCCAGGGCAGCTTGAAGCTTCACTGCAAACACCCTCTGCTCCGTGTTCTGCTGGGAAACGAATTCCCGGGCAGCTGATCGCAACCTGTTCACGCTGCCCGAGCTGCCCGGCGCCAGCTGACCAAACTCCAAAAACTTTGCCACGTGTGCAAACACATCAGCAGGCTGCAGGGACGGTGAGAGGAGACACGCAGGAAGAGCCAGCAAAACCAGCCTGCCCACTCGCCCGCGAATCAGCTCCAGACAGCTGGCAAGCTCTCCCAACACAGCCGCCAGCTGGCGCTCCTCCATTGGCCGCTGGATTCCTTGACCGCCAACATTCAACCTGCCTGAACCGGGTCCGACCGAAGCTGGTCTTGCGGAGGCCAGGGAACGAACCACGCTGGGTGAAAGGAGCAGCGGGCTGCCTCCCAAGCTGCCCCGCTGCCCACATGCTGCACCTGCAGACCCTGCTGTAGTGATTCCCGTTGGCGTTCCTGTGGGTATTGCTGTAGACACTGCTGCTACCAGCCTTGCTGCACTCACTGCTGTGCGCGCTGCTGCAGGTACCGCACTGCACCACAGGTTTATCTGCATTGACACATCAGGCGCTTGCACCAGAGACACTGTGCATCCCCGAACCAGACCGATAGCCCCGGTGCCCGAACCTGCCCCCGAGCCTGGACCGAAACCGGCTGTTGCAATCAGCCCTACAGGCGCGTTCACAGCCGCCCATGCTCGGAGGTATTGCTTTGCCAAGTGCTCCCACCGATCCACCAGCCGAACCAGATCAGAAGGTTCGCCCCCCGAGCTGCCCAGGAGGCTCGGCAGCACCTGCAGGTCCGGCCGACGGTCCAAGAGGTAGGAGAGGAGAGCCTGCCGAACCGCATCGTGGCTCATCCGAGCCACATCTTCAGGCTTGGACGATCCGAACGTGCCATTCTGTTGGCCGCCATAGGAGAAAAACTCCTGGTCGTGGTGCTGTTGCTGATGATGGTGGTGGTAGTGCCGGTGGTGGTGCTGTAACCAAGTGAGCAGATGGGCAGCGGCAGGCTCGAGCAGAGCGGACGGGCAGAGCAGACGAGCAACGAGAGCATCGGCACAAAACTCAGTCACATCGCTCCAATTCACTGCATCACCTGCCCCTCCTGCCCCTCCTGCTCCCCCTGCTGCTCCTGCTCCTGCTGCCAGTGAGCTGCCATTTTCTTCCCCTGCAGGGGATGCATTGGGAAGAGCGCAGAGGACGGGGGAGAGCTCGAGGAAGGGAACGAGGCCCAAGGCCGACACCAGGCTCGCTCTGCTGCTGTCGCCCATATCAGCCAACGTACTGGCTGTCAAGGCTGTAGCGGCTGCAGTGGCTGTAGCAGGTGCAGATGCAGGTGCTCCTGCTGGCACGGTGGCTGACGACGCAGGCGGAGGGGAGAAGGACTGGTGGCGAGACGAGTCTGAGAGGCCCAGTGACGCTGATAGCTGCTGCTCCGCCACCTGGCAGGCGCTGATTGGTGCGTACAGTGGCGACGGCGGAAGGGGAAGTTGCTGAGAAGATGCCACCGCCGCTGCAGTGGCAGTGGCAGTGGCAGTGGCAGAGCCATTGTTGTCGGACGGCACACACCGCACAGGCAGGCACACCGCGTGGTAGTTCGCTGATGCAGCTGATGCGGCTGATGGGACTGTTCCTGTGCCTGTGCCTTCACGACCACGCCCTTCTTGCAGCAGCATCCACACGTCCACCTCTTTCCTATCTCCCGCCCCTTCTCCGCCCCCTCTGCCCCTCCGCCCCCTACCACTTCCACCACCTGCAGCGGGCAGCACGCGAACGTCTCTAATCCACAGCCCCTGATCCCCGCCTTCCCCCTCGTCTACCGCGCGTTCCCCAACCGGCTGCTGCTCGCGCTCACCCTCCTCCTGCTCGCCTGCTGCTGGCCTTGCCCCGCCCGTCCCCCTCTCGCCCGCACCCCTCTCGCCCCTTCCCCCCCTACTGTCACCGCCCCACGAGCCGTAGTCACAGCTGCGCGCCGTGGGCGCGCGAGGCAGCGCGCTCCAGGCGGCCAGGCGGAGGGACGCGGACGCGGAGGCGGAAGCGGAGGCGCGCGCGGGGTCAGGGCGAACGCGGAGACGGAGGGAGTGAATGGTGATGAGACCAGCAGGAGCGGGAGACAATTCCGCGTGCTGCTGACTGCCCTTCTGCTGCTGCTGCTGCTGCTGCGACCAGGTGGTGATGACTAGTATAGACTGGGTGGCGGCAGCTGCAGTGGTGGCGGAGGAGGGGGGGTTGGCGGAGCGAGTGGGGCCAGGCGCGGGGCGCAGAAGGATCTGCTGGATGGCCCATGCGCCTGGAGGGGGGGAGGTAAGGGGAGAGCGGGAGGGAAAGAGCAGCCGGGAGAGGGAGTGATGCGGAGAGGGAGAGAAGAGGAGAGTGGGGAACGGGGAGAGGGAGAGGTGGGGGGAGTAATGAGAGAGCGGGGGTTGGGAGAGTAACTTCACAGCTCTAAGCGTCACGAAACTCACCGTCATGTGCCTGACCCGCGCCCGCAGCAGCCGCCACTCCGCCCGGTCCCCACTCCGCCGTAACCGTCGCCGTCGCCACACGAACCTTCCTCGAAACATCCCACACCCTCACCACGCCATCTGCGTGCGCAACCGCAGCCAACCCCTGCCCGCCACGCGCCAGCAGCTGAATGGACCGTACAGGCGCGATAGACGCGCCTCTGCTTGCGGCTACCATCCCCCACAGGCGCGCCATTGCGCCCTCCCCTTCCCGCAACTCCGCCACCCCCGCTCCGCCAGATGCTTCCCGCTTTATAGAGCCACCCGTTACAGGCACAACAGTGTTGGCGAGTTTGTGGAACGGGACAGCGAGAACAGTACCCGAACCTCCGCCGAGGCAAACCGTGTCCAGACCGGCTGCTATTGAAGTCAAACCGCTACCGAGCCTGGATACGAGGTTCGGCGGGAGCTGAAACGACCGCAAACAGCCGAGGGAGAAGTTACCAAGGAGGGAAGGTTCGGAAGGTTTTGTTCCCGTACCACCGCCAGGCCTGGTGTCAAACCTGGAAGCACCGTCTAGGCGAAACCCTAAGCCGTTTGCGCCATTCAATGCGCTACTGTTGCTGTCAAGCCCCCCAAACCCTAGGTCTATAGAGTATATCACGCCATCTGAGGACAGCAGGTACAGGGACGCGCGAAAGAATCCCGATTCGAACCCCTCGCCATCCTCCTCATCGTCTTCATCCACGTTATAAGCATCCTCGCTAAATGCCCCGTCGTCGGCAATCTCGGGGTTGCGCTCGACGACAAAGGCTGCGAGCGGGAGAAGGGGCGCTGGGAACCGTAAATGCACCTCATGCGATCCCTGCCGTTGAGAGAACTGGCGAGCGACAGCAGCCGCGGATGTTCCTGTAACGAGCGGAGCAGGCTTAGCCGCGGGGAAGGAAGAATTCGGAAAGAGCTCTTTCAAAACAAGAACGGAGTGCGATTGGCGGATTTCGGATCGGATCTGCCACGTCAGCAAGCGCTGATTGGGTTGAACGGAGTCTACTCCCCGAGTCTGAAGCACCGAGCCCCCGCCAAGACACGTCAGCGCGTCGGGATGCAATGCTACGCTAGTGTTTTGGGCTGAGCTCGAACTCCGAGTAGGTCGCGTCGAGGAAGGAACAGTAAATTCCCGCCATCCGTCCTGAATGCCGAAGATCCGAGACTCCATGGCTGCAGGTTACCGTTACTTGCTGGCTGCGTTAGGTCTGACTGAAACTGGGTTTAATTTCTGAATTAACCCTCTTGTCAAAGCATACTTGGAGCTGAGATCCCAAAATTGTTGTTGACCGATCGCAACGCGCGTGTAACGGGACGTTAAATTTGAGGCTCCCGATTGCGAACGAACGTGAAAATTAGACAACGCGGTGCGATTTTTAGGCGAATCGATTATTGACTCGCTCGGCCAGGAAAACCAGGGAATCTGGAGGTCGAAACTAGCTGGAAACCATTGGTACACCGAAACATCAAGCTCCAATGTCGTCGTCAGGTCTACCGTCTTTTTCTTATTCTTACTTAAAACTAGAACCGTATCGGCACCAGTGCGTCGGACTAAGTCGTCGGCTCGGACTACGCCCTAACGACTAGCAAGTCCCTTGCTGATCAGCCCTGAGTGAAGCATCAGGACCAAATGGACTCAGGATGATCAGGGACTTGTTTTCAAGATCCGTTTGTGGCAGGGAAGGGAGTGTCCTCGTTCCCGCTCTTCCTCTTTTGAAGCTGGAATATTTGAACTTCTGGGAATTCTGGCGAGCGATTCTGGCGAAAATGTAACCCTGGCGATGGAGCCGAGCGAAAAGGGTATTACTCGATAGTACAAAACTGCTCAAAGCTGGTTCGTGGTTCTTGTGGAAACGTACACCAGTTTGATTGCTGAGGCTACAAGTCACTGAAATCCAATTTTTTGTCCAGAAATTGCTCCAGCTCATACAAGCGACAATCCAAACAACCAATCACCAGGCGTCTGCTCGGCAAAACCAAGGGCCAGAAAACTCACACCCACAAACGCAACCAGGGCTGTCGATTCAAGGGCATATGGCCTTAATGCCCTGAACATTAAGGTCTGACTTTGCCCCAAAGTCCAGATTCTCAGGGTTGATTTTTTGTACAGCCCGGAATGATAACGGGCGTGGGCTGGGCCTTCCCCTGATTCTTACAGGGGCCTCTTGGAGGGTTTCCCTGATTCCCCGCGGAAGTTTCCGGCCTTACCCGGAAAATTTCACAGCCTTTCCTACCCCCCCCCCCCCACCCTCTCCCTTCCCGTTTTTCCCTTTCCATCCCATCCCAACCCATCCTATCCCATCCTACCGTGAAAATGCTAGATTACGACGTGGACTGGGCAGGTGTGTACCAGATCTTCGACGGGGAGAAGCGCCGCAAGCCTGCCACTTAGTTATTAGTGTTGAGAAAGTAGATAGGTAGATAGCAGTTCTAAATTAACTCTGCCTTTATTAGTTTTCGTTATATAGAGTTTGCCCTGATTGTTGTAGTGTAGCCCTGAATTTAAGTTTTTGGTTGGGTGCTTTCCCGGACGCTTAAAGCCCGCGGCCCAAATTGCGGACCGCGCGGGTCAAGTTTTTAAAACTTGACGAAGTGGCCTGTTCAAGCTTTGAAAGGTAGCGCAGGTGCAATTTGGGACTTCCGAAGTCAGACACACCAACCAGAGGGAACTCAAGGGGCTCGTTGGGTTTGGCGAAAAAAACGAAGTTGACGAAATTAGAAACTCTCGCCTAAACCCAAGGCTGTAAAACCCCCTCTCGTCATCTTTTTAAAACTTGTGCAATTTGGGCTGCCGGCTTTAAAGGCTCGGAAAAGGACACTTCCCGGAGATTTCAGGGCTGAAATACGGGCACCTCAGACTCTCAAGTGTTGGCCTGGAACCAATCGACAGCCCTGAACGCAACCCCTCAACCTCAACCCTCTTCCTCAGCCTCCCGCCAAAACCTCGGCTGGGGATTAGCATTCTACGGCTGGTGTGTGGCTCAAATCGTGCCCCGCGACCGGCTGTTTCTTGTGCGAGGTCTATCACTTGCACTTCATTCGTCCCAACTCTGTTTCTCGTTGTACTTGCCGCTGAATAACCCGCAATACGAATTGTGTCTTTCGATCCGCAACGGCCTGGCCGCAGAAACCGGTACTCGTCAGCGGACGCAGCGCACGAATCTTCGCTCTCTTGCGGATCGATATTGATATTATTTCTTTCATTTTTCTTTTTCAAATTCGGCCTAGAAATTGATTTTCCCAGATTGGTCCTCGAGGTTCTATCTTGATCGGATCGTCACCATGCCCCCACCTACACACGCCAGCGGCGCAACAACCGCCGCGGTCTCCGTTACAACGACGCGCCTTTTAATCACCTATCACCCGCACGACCTCCCGCCCGGCGGCGATCCGCTCGTAGTGAGCAGCCCAGCGCCTCTCTATAAGTACCTTCGATACGAGCCAGCGGGGCTCTCTTTCCACGAAGCTGCGAAACGACTGGCAGGATTCCACGCGCCAGGGGAGGAAAATGCGGAGGAAGAGGACGAGGGGAAGGGCGAGAAGGTGAAAGACTCGGTCGATTCGTCGGCGTGGGAAAGTTCGCGGAAGAAGAAGAAGGGGAAGGATGGGAAGGATGCGGAGAAGCAGGAGCAGGATCACTACGCGTTGCTGGGCATGGCGCACCTGCGGCACCTCGCGACGGAGGATCAGCTCAAAAAGGCGTACCGGTGAGTGCGAGCTAAGGAAGATTGCTGTGCGAATTATCATACGGTCTAGGGAACGAGCAGTAGGGTACGGAACGTCTCAGTACGCGCTGCTGGGCTCGGCGCGCCTGCGGGATCTCGCGATCGAGTAGCAATTCAATAAGGCGTACTGGTGAGTGCGCGCATGGAAACGTGTAGATGAGCGCGCGGAGACGAACAGGTGAGAGCACGAGAGTGTGAGTGTGAGAAAAGAAATGTTGTAAGATCGAGGGCGCGCGCAGTAATACGCGAAGCATCGGAGTCCGCGTCGCTTGGGTTCGGGGTTCTGAGGACCTCTAGCGTGAAGTTACCAGGCCGGCGAATTACACGGTTGTTTTTTAGATCGCAGGAGCGCGAGATGCCGCAGCATCTGCATCTTTCTCCTACAGCAACTGCAGTACAGAGGTACCAGAGAAAGCGCAGAAGCTAAGACGACGAGAGGTGGGAAGTGTGAGATCTGAAGGGGCGGCTCGTTGCGCGCCGGTGGGACAGCGAGAGGGTAGGAGGAGCGAGCGAGCCTCGAGAAAGAGTGTCCGTTTGAGGGAGCGTAGAGGTGAGCGCCGTGAATCAAATACACGAGTTTGAAAATGCGTTTATGAATGCAGATAAGGGTCGATGAAATGAATATGTAGGATTACTGATAAAGACTGTAAAAATCCCAGAATGTTTTCCCCGCCTTCTTTTCCCTGTCCTCATCTCTGTCGACTCCCGTTCAAACTGACTCTCTTTCCCCCCTTAGACTCGGTGCTCCGGCCCTCCTTTTGGATCAGTCGCCTCATCCCTAACAATCTCTGTTCCTCTTAACCCCTGAACCCTGGAACCCCACAACTTCTGAACCCTGGAACCCCACAACCTCGTAACACCAAACCCCGCAAGCCCTTAACCCGAACCCCTTAGCCCTTAACCCCTATCCCCGTAACCTTCAGAGCGGCACGGTTGAGCTTCTGACCGATCCCCCGTCATTCCTTCTCACCGTTTCTCGCCGCACCCCACCCCACCCCACCCATCGGCCACACAGAGATGCGGCTCTGCGCTTCCACCCGGACAAACAGGCCGCAATGCTGCTGGAGGAGCAAACAGACGAGGCGAGAGCAGCCAAGAAAGAAGAAATCGAGACCAAGTTCAAGGCCATCCAGCTGGCCTACGAGGTCCTATCAGACCCGGCCAAGCGCCGAGTGTACGATTCTACAGACGAATTTGATGATGATATTCCGGGTGATTGCTCCCCTGAGAATTTCTTCAAGATTTTTGGGCCGGCTTTCCAGCGGAATGCCAAGTGGTCGGTGATTAGCCCGACCGAGGTTCCGGGTTTAGGGGACGAGAACACGCCGATTGCGGAGGTGGATAGGTTTTATGATTTCTGGTGGGCGTTTAAGAGCTGGCGGGAGTTTCCTAACGAGGATGATTATGACGTGGAGAGTGCTGAGAATAGAGAGCATAGAAGGTGGATGGAAAGGCAGAATGCGAAGCTGAGGGAGAAGGCGAAGAAGGAAGAGAGCGCGAGGATTAGGCAGTTAGCTGAGAATGCTTATAAGCAGGACCCGAGGATTCTGAGGAGGAAGGAGGAGGAGCGAATGGCGAAGCAGCGGAAGAAGGAGGAGAAGCAGCGGGAGAGGCAGGCGAAGGAGGATGAGGGGAAGAGGAAGGTGGAGGAGGAGCGCAGGCGGAAGGAGGAGGAGGAGAAGCGGGCAGCGGAAGAGGCAGCAGTGGTGAAGAAGCAGAGGGAGAAGGACAAGAAGGCAGCGAGGAAAGAGCGAGCCAGGCTGCGAGCAGCGACGGCGGGTTGCCTTGAATCCGCCCCTGCTGTAACCAGCAAGCAAAAAAAACAGCAGCAGCAGCAGGAGCAGAAGGGAGAGGAGTGGGAGACGCCGATAACAGAAGAGGAGCTGGAGAGTCTAGGGCAGGGATTGGAGTTGGAGAAACTGCGAGCGCTCTGTGACAAGCTAGAGTCTCTATCAGCTTCTGCTGGTTCTGCTGCTTCTGCTGCTGCTGACACTGCAGCTGTGAAGCGGCAAACCCTCCGACTGTTCTCCACCGCTCTGAAAGTCAACCGGTGGGAGGGGCACAGCCCAGCGTTCGAATACCAGCAGATCCCCGCGGTTCTTTCAGAAGCTGCTGCAGCGGCGGCGGCGGCAGCAGCAGCGGAGCGAGAGGCGGAGGCGGAGAGGGAGAGAGAGGCGCGGCGGGCGGCAGGGGGGAGTGGGAAGCCGTGGACGCGGGAGGAGATAGAGCTGCTGAGGAAAGCGGTGACGAAGTTTCCCAAGGGGACGGGGCAGCGGTGGGAGGTGATAGGGGCGTATCTGGGCACGGGGCGGTCGGCAGAGGAGGTGGTGCGGGCCACCAAGACGGTGCTGCTGCAGAAACCAGACGACAGCAAGGCGTTCGACAGCTTCTTGCAGGTGGGTGGGTGGGTGGGTGGGTGCAAGTGCCAAGGGTTCATGGATTGAAGTTCAGGGATTTTCACCCACTAATAGTCACAGCAAGGGTTTCCCTTTTGTGGCCCCCTCTACACCACTCCATTCCCCTGTACACCACTCCATTCCCCTCTACACGACTCCATTCCCCTCTACACCACTCCACTTCACTTCTACTCTCACTCCACTCCATGCCTCTTTCCACGTTCTGGAACCTTGTTGAAAATGACTCAAAAATCACTCCACGTACCCACTCCCACCCACTCCCACCCACTCCCACCCACTCCCACCCACTCCCACCCTCTCTCCCCAAGCAGCGTCGCAAGAACCCCAAGGACATCGCCTCGCCTCTCTCCACTCGCGAGGATCTCGACGCCGCCGCTGCTGCTCCTGCTGCTGCCGCTGCTGCTGCTGCTGGTGCTGCTGCTGTTCCTGCCTCCTCAAATTCACCAGTCAAAGCAGCAGGAGCAGGAGCAGGAGGAGCAGCAACGGGAGCAGCAACCGCAGCAACACCAGCAGGGAAACAAGCAGGGGCAACAGCAGCCGCAGCACCGGCAGCAGCGGCAGCAGTAGCGCCAGTGGCGAATGGGGTGGGGGCGGCAGGCAAAGGGGCGAGTCCAGCGGCAAAGGGTGCGCAGGAGGCGGGGTCAACAGGTGCCGGAAATGGTGTGGCTGCTGGGGCAGGCGCAGCAGGTGCAGCAGGGGCAGGGGCGTGTGGGGCAGAGGGGGCAGTGGATGTGTGGAGTGAGGCACAGGAGGTGGCGCTGGTGAAGGCACTTAAAGCCTTCCCCAAGGACACGGACAAACGGTGAGAGTTGCCTTGCTAAACACATCCTGTCGCTCCATCCATCCCTTCATCAAGCCATGCGCCTTGCCCTTGCCTGGCACAATGCCTGGCTTTCCTTTACCGCTTGCCAATCATTGTGCCCCACATTCACTCCCGGTGTCCTGTGTGCCCCACATTCACTCCCGGTGTCCTGTGTGCCCCACATTCACTCTCGGTGTCCTGTGTGCCCCACATTCACATTAACCGCTTGCCAATCATTGTGCCCCGCATTCACTCCCCACTCATGCCAGGTGGGACCGCATAGCAGCAGCAGTGCCGGGCAAGAGCAAGGCGCAGTGCTTCAAGAAATTTAGCGAGCTCCGGCAGAGCTTCCGAACCAAGAAGAGTGGCGCGGCGGAGTAGTGGTTCGGGAAGGGAGGTTGGTTGGCTGCTTGGCTGGGTGGGCGGGTGGGTGGGTGGATGTGAGCAGCGCCAAAACAGGAGCAGAGTCATCAGCTGTGGTTGCTAGAGCTGGTTATGTATGACCAGCTTGGAAGGCAGTGCATGATTTTGGCAGCAGCTGGAAGTTGGATGCATCGTTTTAGGAAGCTGAGAGTAGTACTACGTTAGGTCAACGAATGAGAGGATACCGTATTTCATTGTTTGGTGCGTTTCTGCTACACCTGTGCACAGCTACCATGTTGCACGCAATTGTGCAAAGAGCCCTTGATCTCCCACTGATAACCAGCCAGATATCACAGAGCTCCTGGTGTCATTTAGTAAGGTACCGTATGATGTTATGGTTCTCTTGGAAACATTTACGTCACATCAAAGCTTGCACAGGTCCCAGTTGTTCAATGATTGTTGGAAACAGTGAATCTTAAGCGCCTCTGTCGTGTCGAAACATCGCACCAGAAGCGAAGCGAACTATATTGAGGCACACGCGAGTCAACCCTCGGAGGTTGAAAGAGGTTGCTGGAGGTTACGCAAAAGTCAAAGGTCAGCGACCTTTGACCTGACAAGTACAGCACGACAGCAAGGACACACAACTGACTCGCTACAGAGCAGTTGCCCGAGTCGTCACTGTATCGAACCGCAACAGCAACAGTAAAGCAGTTATAACCGTATCCTTTCATATTCCTTGTACTCATATATAAATGCTTGTATCTCTTTGCTTTAATCAACTTACTTTGCCCTCACATACTAGCGCAAGGTGGTTCACAACTTCTTCATTAAACGCTTCCGCTATTACAATTGTCCTACCCCGAATTTACCCCTGCAAAGATCCTAAGGGCTTTTCTCAGCCCAACATGGTATGAGAGCTATCAGGGGAAATTCGACTACTATCAAGTCATCAACAGACAACATGGCAACATACAAGGAAAGGAGTTCCTCTAATGGTTCTCCCGGGACTACTCCTACCCCACCTCCTGCCTCTGGCCTGCAGACAGAGGAAGGAACCGCAACGGGACCAGCAGCGCCTTCAACCACCCAGCCCGCCAGCTTCGACCAGAGTATGATGGAGAAGTTTTTCTCCTTCATGTCGTTTTACGAGCAACACCAGCAGTCGGCACCTGCGCAGTCAAACAACAGCAACAACAACAACGTGACTCCAATGAGTCTCGACGGCTCATCATATGCGCGCGGAAACCAGCAACAACCTACCTTTGCTCCGTATGAACGCGGGTCCATTAGCTTCATGCCGCACCCGCAAGCTCCACCTGGACAAGAAAAACCACTGGATGCACTGCAAGTTCAGTCGCAATTCGCGCACGTCTTGAAGCTGCAGACGTCAAGGCCCTTCGACGGAAAAGACTTCTTTACCTGGTCGTTCGAGTTCGAACTCATGATGGAAGGCGCACAGATACTTGGCTTCTTCGACGGGTCTGTGCCATACCCAACAAACGGCACACAGTATGAGAAGCAGCAGTACACATATCAGTCGATGATGGCGTATACGATCCTACTGAGAAACATCACCCCAACTCAGCAGCAGAACATACGGTCTTACCGGGGATTCGGCAACTCCGCGGAACTCGCGTACAAGCACCTGAAGGACCTGTATCAAGCAACAGACAGCGTCAACCAAAGTCGGTTAATGGCGCAATTGACAACGGTCGAAATGAAACCAGGCGAGAAAGGAATGGCATATATCAGCCGATGTCGCGAACTGCGCGACAAGCTTCTTCGATGCGGAGGGTCAATCTCTGAAGACGCCTTCGTGACAGTCATCATCGGCGGCCTCGGTCCTCAATGGCGCGCAACAAAGGCCATCCTCCGAGCCCACGGAAGAATCTCCGAAGCAGCGCTCTGCGCCAAAGTTCACGCCGAGCAGCAAGACATGGACCTGCAAGAAGAACGACATCAGTACCGGAATTCGCGTTTCACACTCAGCGACGGTACAACAACAACAGCAACCGACAACAACAAAAAATCGTACCTCCGTTCTGCCACATCTGCAAGACGTCAGGGCACCCACGTACGCACTGCCCGAATCGACAACAGTCGACGCTTCCACAGCGACAACTTCGACCCTCATGCAACCAAGTCGCCTCAACGCAAGCGAATCCCACAACTCAAATTCAAGCTTCAACGACACCAACGGGACAACCTGCACAAGGAGCAAGGAACATCGTCAGTTGCATGGCAAGATTGACCGACTCCTGCGTCACTGAATCACCACCACATTACTCACCGGAAGAACAGCTCGACAACAGCACGCCCCGCCGCGAGTCACTGCAGCCGAACCCGACATACGCCGCCATCGCCCAGAGTGAGCCATCCGGGAAGGACACATGGTTCTTGGACAGTTGCTGCGGACAGCACATGTGTTCTTCAGGACGCTTCGTACAACGTGAATACCAACTCCAACGTGAAGTAGTCATCACCGTCGCCAACAACCAGAACCTGCACACACGACGGCAAGGCGTAGTTCAACTTCAGTCACGGGAGACAAACGTCATACTGCAAATGACGAAGGTCTTAATAGCAGAAGGACTCGGCTACAACTTACTCAGCGTCAGCCAGCTGATGGCGAAAGGCATCCACCTTGAAGCAGACAGCGCCGCTTAAGAATTCAAGCTGTACCACGGGAAGGGCGGTCTCTACATCGGAAAAGCAGTCCTGAAAAACAACGTCTTCGTTCTCGATTTCGTTCCAGATCTTGGCACCGCCGACAGCGACGGCATCGTCAGCTTTGCTCCTTGGACACATCCACCGGACCTTGATCCAGACTTCAGCCCCGGTGGTCTCTGGCACTCTCACACGATACCTGAGGCAGAACGAACAAGAGCATTAGCAACGATTCAACAATCGGCAGCAGCAGAGACAACATCGGCAGCAAAACAGACAACGTCGGCAGTGGCAGAGACAACAACGGTAGCAGCAGAGACAACAACGGTAGCAGCAGAAACAACAACGACAGCAGCAGCGGCAACATCGACACCAAGCGTCGGTCCTTCAACGACACCAATCTTCATCGATAACACGCCACCGACACCCGCACAGCAGTTAAACCCGGCTCCACGAGAAGTCCACCGAAGCGCCAATATCACCGCCGGCTTCTACTCAAACTCAGACATGTACAGACGCTCACCCGGGCACCGCGCCAGCGAAGACATCTGGCACACATGGTTGGGACACCCAAGCAACACAACGTTAAACAACACGATAAGAGCAGGAGTGCTCGACAAAGACTCCCTACTACTGCACGACGGGAGAGAACTTCAACGAGTCAGAGGAACATGCTTCACCTGCCCCGAAGCCGACTTACCGCATCAGCCGTTCGTACCTCACCACAACCCAAGCGCACCAGCATACGCACCACTTGAGAAGGTGTACAGCGATATCCTGTACAATCGCGCACCAGGACAAGGAGCCTACAATTACACCATCACCTTCATCGACGCCGCCACTCGATACGTCTGGCATCTCAACCTTCCAAGCCGCGACATGGCTTTCGAAGCCTTTGTCGCCTGGCTTCCAGTTGCGGAACGAGAATCGGGAGCTAAGCTGAAAAGCTTTCAGTCAGACGGGGGAGGAGAATACACCTCACAAAGGTTCAAGCAGTACTTGGCAGAAAGAGGAATCAAGAAACTCATCTCCCTCCCCTACGCTCATCAACAGCAGGGTGTAGCAGAAAGGATGAACAGGACTCTGCAGAACACCATGCGCAAGCTAATACGTGGCATGCGGCTACCCACCCACCAGTGGCCTGAGGCGATGGACCACGCTGTCATGCTGCACAACTTGCTGTCTTCGTCGTCACTCCCGAACAACGCATCACCGCACCTGTTGTGGACAGGAAAGCTGGGCAGCACAAAAATGCTACGAGTTTTTGGGTGCATGGTACAGTACCGACCCCCAACTGCACGAGCCGGCCGATTCTCCCAACGAGCACAATGGGGACTACACCTGGGCATCGAAAAGAACTACAACGCGTGGAAAATTTTCGATGTCAACTCAAAAGAAACAGTACCAGCACGCGACGTCATCTTCTACGAGCGACTCACCCTCGACTCCTACCTTGCCAACTTGGCAGAACAGCGAGACCTCACCAGTGGATTCCGTGGAGACAGAGCCTTCGCTTCGGCAGCCGACGAAGCTGACCTGGACGAGCAGAACGTGGAAGGAGCCTCGGAAGAAGCCGGACCTCTCCCCTACTGCTCCGTCAATATCCCCATGGATGACGAAAACCCTCGCGAAAGCATCAACGCCGACGTTTTCTACGATTTCGCCGACACTGGTTACATTACACATGCATGGGTCAACACCGACGAAGCAGAACGCATAGGACCGAATTTCTTACCGGATCCAGAAGACGGTGACGAAGCAGCTTATCCCGAGGACACCACACTCCCCCGCTACACACAGAGTGGACTCCAGATACTTGGGCTCGTCACCGCAGTCCACGGCACCGCCATTCCTAAGGAGCCTGCGACGGTTCAACAGGCTCTGGGGGGGGAGCACAGGGAAAAATGGCGCGAAGCCATGGACAGGGAGCTGAAAGCATTAGAAGAGCGCAACACGTGGAAAGTCGTTCCCATCAGCGTAGCATGGAACAAAACTATCCTCACCGGAAAATGGGTCTTCCGCGTGAAAACGAAAGCAGACGGCACCATCCAGAAGTTCAAAGCACGATGGGTCGTGCGCGGCTTCGACCAAGAGCACGGACGCGACTTCACCGAAACATTCGCACCTGTCAGTCGACACACCTCACTGCGAATTCTCCTCGCAATCGCCGCCATGAAGAAGAAGAAGCTGAGACAAATCGACGTTGCGAACGCGTTTCTCTACGCACCTGTCGACGCAGAGATTTTTGTGGAGCTACCACACGGCTCCAGCACGGACTCCACACACGTCTGCCAGCTGCTCAAATCGCTCTACGGCATCAAACAGGCTCCGCGACTGTGGCAACAGTATCT